GATGTCCCCTAGACATTGACGTTACTTCTCCTGGCTCCTGTCCTCCCATTAGCGTTGTTTTCTGGCGGGTTCCCAGAGGTTACCTGGCCCCTGTGGTGCGCAAAGCAGCCGCTGTAGCATTGGCAAATGTTTTGCCCATTACTCTCTCTCTTTCTGACTGTATCTATTCCGACAAACAACCCTCTAATCTCTCATTCTGTGAACCAAACTAAACATCTTTGACCAATGCTACAAGCCAAGCAACATCTTTTTTTGCTTCCCATTTCGCTTATTTTTGTCTTTTTCTGTTGCCAGGACTATAGGGTTGTGGGGTGCTAAATTGATTCCACATTCTTTCTGCCATTCAGGGTGGTTTTGCAGAGTGAAAAAATACATCTGCATAAACCACTTCATCCCATTTTCCTTCTCTCTGAAGGAACAACATTAATTGTAATAATGTATTATGTTTTAATGTCCCATTAAAGGGCCATTTTTCTCCATCATCTAATTTATAGAGAGGCCACCACTGATGACAATACTTAATTAAAGTTCTTCTATCGACACTGCCTCCCAGCACTCCCCCCAGATCTTTCCAATGCTGTCAAACACATCCCAATGGACTTTTCTTTAGAATTCCGCCACTCTGTGACCCTCCCGTATCTGATATAAATGTTACCATTAATAACCAAAATCCGATAAATGACAAACCAATAATCAATACCCAAAACGCATTAGCCAAAAGTCAGATAACTGTTAACCAATTCTGTTTCCAAACAAGGATGCAGCCCCTCCAAACTGGAATGTAATCCCCTACCAAATGGGACATAAACCCCTCCAAAAACCCGGTATATGCTGACCTGCGGGCATGTCTGCACGTCTTATAGACAGTCCCAAATAGATCGATCGCTACCAAATTTAGGATTTAAAGATGTCTTCTTACCAGAGGGTCTTTGTCTGTTCCCACAGTGATCCGACTGAGAACAGGAGTCTCTCCGGAAAAGAGCTCCAGGGGTACCCAAGAGAGTCCCAGACTCATCGGGTCCCGCAGCCGAACAGAAGATGTCCCACCTGGGTCGCCAAATGATTCAAAGAAATTCAAACTTAATAACATCAAAAATGTTATTAAGCAGACATCTTTATTACAGCGCCGGACGCATGGGGGATATCTCCTCCTAACGTGTGCCTCGTGTTACCAGCATCTGAATTATATCGAGTACATACATTCATAGTCATTGCAATTGTTAGCATATTTGTGACATTTCCAAGAAATGTTTAACATACTCAAATGTCCCTGACGCATGCGCTGTTCAATGAGTCGGTGGTCCTCTCGTGGTCTCTGGTGGGTTTTTGCAGTGCTTGGTCCCCTTAACTTGTCTGTCCTGCAGAGGAACTCTTTTCTTATCTACTTGCTTAGCTTGTATTTTAACATTGTACTGGTTCTTACCGGTTCCTGCCAGTTACTTGGTTAAGATGAAAGAAGTTCTCCACAGTAGTTTATTTTGCACAATCCTCGCTTACAAAAGGAAATGTACAAAACTCAGATTTGATAGATTTTTACATGTTAAAACCTTCTTCATTGTCTCAGACCTTTGTTTCACAGTGTAAAGTGATGTCTGCAACAAACATAAGACCACCAACCAACAACCATATTGTGACTTGCTCCCCTTAAAAGTATAATGGTAACAAAAAGCACTGAGCGGGTACCAAGCCTGTAGTGAATAGGAGGGAGAACAAAATCTTTCTCACTTTTACTGATGTGGAAGGAAGAACAAGGTTGAACTGGTTGGTCAAAAGGTAAACTGCAGCTGGAGACTTTTTTAATAACATTTTTGGGAAGACCTTCAGGCTGCTGTTTCTTCTTGAAAAGAGACAGCCCTGCCAAATTTCAAAATTTATAACTGCAAAGGGAAATCTGTCTTTTTTGGGATTTTTAGGTCTTTGCTTTGCTGTCATTGCAGCATTCCAGCTCTGCTGACTACTTAGTTCAGTTGCATTGCTGCTTCAGGTCTTTTATGTCTTTCACATGCAAGAAATCTTAGCTGCTTACATTTCAGACAGGATTACCTGATGCAGTTGCCCTGTCCCTGTTAATGGTTGAGAGGCCTTAAAAGAGAGTCACAGTGAACTTCGGTAGTGAAGAACAATAGAATCACTACAATGCTTCTTTTTTCTTATTAAGAAAAATCTTGAGCTGGACTTTTCAAAAGCAGCTATATATAACTGTTCCTCAGTTTCTGTAGGATGTGTAACTTAAATCTTTAAAAATTGTATGGTGAATGCCCCTGAGAATTTTTCCAGAGTATTTTTTAAGTAATCCAGGTAACTGATGACAGCTGTTACAGTGATACCATTACTGTAACGTTACTGAAGTCCACAGCCGACTGCTCTACAGCAAGGACCTGTAAGTGGTGGTGTTTCTGGAACTCTTCACCTTCCTCTCCACTCCCAAATGTTAATGCCAGTAGAACTCTGTCATCCACACTAAATCTATTGGTAGTAGTCAGGCATTTTTTCACTTCCTCTCTTGTGCTCTTTCAGAGGTTCAGTGGCTAAATCAAGTTTACCTTTTCTTTAACCTAAGGTCATATATTGTGGAGTCCTGAAGAAAACTTTTCACAAGACTTTCTCTTCACATGTCTGAGCTTTGCCAGGAAGAAACCAGAGCTTCTTCAGGGTAGAAGTTTTCTTAGAGGTTCACTTCAAGGGACTGGAGGAATAGAATTAATAGGACTGGTAGGCTCTGCATGTTCCAGTTATTGGCTAGGTAATTCCAAAGGGTTTAGAGTTGTGGTTGCATACTGTAGTTCAACAGCTTGGAGGAAGATGAGGGAAGAAATAGATGGAGAAAGCTTACAGTCTAAGACGTGTGTGTATATTCTACAAAACCTCCATTCTAGAAAAGAGTAGGAAAATGAAGAATCTTTTTTGCAGTTCATGTTACAACATTTGTTTATGGCTCCAAAAGCCTGTGTCTGTCTGGGTATTCGTATTAGCAAACTGTCAGAAGCTTCCATAAACAAGTTAGTAATCTGGGAAATTTCACTGAGATGGTCACTGACTGTAACTTTATGCTAACAGCATTTGACTTAGGCTAAACTTGTGATAGTGGTTGCACTTCCTGAACTGTTTATGGCTGTGGCTACTGCACAAGAACACCGATTTTGTATTCACTAACCTGTATCAGGTGTAATAAGGTGCAACAGCTCTTTCAGTGGTGACACTTTAACTTTGCATGAGGTTCTGTACAGTGCAAGGGACGTGGTAGTAATATACCATGTTTCCTTAAGATTAAAGGGTGGAAACATCTAAAGATTGAACACTTTGCTAAATGTTTTGCAGGTTGGACAATCTGCTCAACATGGCTTATGGAGTAAAGAGGTAATAAAGGACTGTTAGGTTCATAATAACCAAATTAAGTACTCTGCATACTCTTTACTTTTTTCTGTAAGACTTAAGTTGGATTTTTGCATGTTGATATCTCAGCTGAAATTGTTCATTTTGGTGCATTGTGCATGAAAGACAATACTTTTGTACCAGCTCCATGGAATTCCTGTTTCAAATGACTTACTAATCCTCACTGGTTTTGTAGCATGCTTTTCTTTTGTTTTTCTATGCTACTTCATTTCAGACAGACCTAGCAGTGTTCCTCTAATTGTTTGTAGCATTGTAGATAGTATTTGTGCAGTTGAGGAAAAACAATTATTTGCCATGTTACCTTATTAGTCTGGCCACTGTATTCATGCTGTGAAAAGCCCTGTATCATCAATTTTTATTTTTAAATTTCTTTGCTGTGATTTTCTATGAACGGCTACTTTATTATTTCTATTTTGTTTCCCCCATTCCTCAGTAGGTTTCCTCCGATGACCATTGATGGAATGACCAGTTTGGCTGGAATTAATATCCCTGGGCATGCAGGAACTGGATGGTGCATTTTTGTGTACAACTTGGCCCCTGATGCAGATGAGAGTATCCTCTGGCAAATGTTTGGACCCTTTGGAGCAGTAACCAATGTGAAGGTCATCCGTGATTTTAACACCAACAAGTGCAAAGGTTTTGGATTTGTGACTATGACAAACTATGATGAGGCAGCTATGGCAATAGCCAGCCTGAATGGATACCGCCTTGGGGACAGAGTATTGCAGGTCTCCTTCAAAACAAACAAAACGCACAAAGCCTAACAAGTTATTCTCAGTGCATTAATACATGAAAACTCTACAACAAAGGCAGTTTACAAGAAGCTTTATGCATTAGTAAATGCCTTTGTTGTATGCCAGTGTGGAAATGGGGATAAAATGACTACTTAGCATCCTAAGAATATGTGAGATTTTTTTATTGCTAATATTTGAATTAAACTTCTTAAATATCTTTTGTGTTTGAATATTGACAAGAGGTACAGGGTTTTTACCTGTCACAATGCATATTCTATTGCCTTCTTTGAAGAAGGTGGACCTTTTAAAATGTTTCAGCTAAGGGAAGAAGTTTTTTCTTTTTATGACTGCCTTTACATATGAGTAAATATTGAGGCTTTGTGTTACACCTTCTAAGTTTTTTTTGTTGTTTCTTGATTTGCCTTGTTTAATTATACATGTTAATACAATGCTGTTTTGTTGTTCAAGAAAAGTATTTGAAGTTTACATTTTATTTATAAAGTTATAAGCAGTATTTATTTTATAATTATCATTTGGGTTGGGGAATGGGAACACATTATAAAAGCTTATTGTAAGAATACTGGAGAACTTTTCGTAAAGCAGTACCTTGCCAAAGAGATAAGAGCCTCTTTGATGTGGGTTTAAAAAAGCATCTATTTTTATAGAAAAAAAAAATTTGGAGAAACTTTTTACTGGTCCTGGAACAATATTTTGACTTGAATACTTTGAGAAATCTCTTCATATGACACCTAGTGAGCTTTTAAAACTTACCAGGAAATTTGCAGTTGTTGGGGAAAATTTAGAAAGATTTATGATGTAGAAATACTTTTGAGACCTTTGTATTAAGTAGTAGAGTCAGTGGGATGCACTGTTGGTTTCATTTTTGTAATCATCAGTGGAGTCTTTGATCATCCTGGTTATTAAGTGATAGATGGCTCACATTAATTTGTGATTTTGAAACAAATGAAAATTTAAAAAAGAATCTTAAGAGCAAGCAGGAAACTTAAAATACTGAGAGATGGGGGAAAAAAATCTGTTCTTCCTAAAGAATTCCCTTCAGATAGAGCTCATGGTGTTTAGTGATGTACTTGCTATTGTTTGAAGAATTGTTTTGTCTTAAGAAAAGACATTGAGCATGGTTTGCGCAGTAGCAAATCAGCAGAAGTTGCCTGAGTTGGATATATTTGGAGGTATTTTGAAAGTTATGTTCAAGGCTAACACCTGAGCTTTGTGTAATGTAAATAAGACCTTGAGTTATGAACCTTTCAGCTAATTTTGATTTAATTCCTTTCAAGTTACATGCCAAGTGATGTTCAATTTTGAATGTTTTTGTATAAATTTTTCTTTGTAAATGGCATTAACATTGTTACTTGAGGTCTGCTTATTCATTTCTGTTGTCCTGAGGACTTGAATTTACAGTGCATCAAATCTGTTGCTATTTTTGTCTGTAGATAGTCTAGCTTCAGCTGTTTATGGTGATGCTACATTTTTGTTTATAAATATGTTTGTGGTAAAAATGAGTATAATCATAGGTTTTGAACAAATTTCCTTACATTTTTCATACAAAAACCATAAATACCTGTATGCTATTGAAATTTAACTTTGTATGATGCTTAAATCACTATTTGGGGAAATAGAAAAAGTCTTTACCATGTACTGAAGAAATTTAAGGAAAAAAAAAAAACAGAATATTTTCTGATTAGCATCTAGCTTATAATTAAATTTTTAAAAAAGCTGAGGGTTTGATGCCTTCACCAGGATGCACTGACAACTATGTAGTTACGTCCTGCTTTTTGTATAAACTGAGATGCTCATATGCTTCCCCTTAGAAAAAGCAATGTTCTATGCATAACATAGTTGTACACAATCTTTGCAGTTGCTTTTGGTTCTTATTCTTTTGTAGTTAAAAAATTTTCAGTATAGTACAGTACATATACTGTGAAGCGCGTGCTAAAGTGAATAAGCGAGTTTTCATGCTGACCCACTCAATGCTATTCAAAAATCAATTGGCTTCCTGAGCACTTCCTCATTCTTAGGTACGTTTAGATTGTTAAAGCTAATCCTCTGCATTAAAAATTGTATATACTATAGAAATCACAAACTTTCCAATGTGGGGAAAACAGTAGCTACATGCTTCTTTCCTATACTACTGTAGCAACTAACAGCATTGATGAGAAGGCATGTAAATTGGGCTTCACTTTACAGTGTTTATCAGAGCACTTAGTAAAATATAAGGCTGGTATTTATTTGAAGTTGTATAGTATGACTTAATTCACATCTGTTGGAATAGAAAATATATTCTGTTGAGTATTTAAGAGGTTGTACATGTTTTCTTTTGTGTTTGGATCCTTTGTACTTTTTCATGTTCAGTACATCAATAAACAAAGTTGAAGGGAAAACAGTGTCATGGGCAGGTCTTTTACCATGTTGTCCTCTGCTTTAATGGGTAAGCAATCTGAGGGAAGGATTTCTGCAAAGCTCTTGAGCTCCTTTTAACTTAGCTTAGGATCACAGTTACCAAGGAGGTAAAACAGAGCTGTGTACCGGTTCTGTTATGTTAGAATTAGTATCAAGTGTTTTAACTTTGGTTTTATATGAACCACTCAATACTTAGTCTGGTATAATAAATGAGGATCATTAAACACATTCAGTAAAAATAAATTTGCTGTCTGTCTAGCAGACTGCTATTCAGTGTAGCTAAGTTAATGCCTAGTGTGTTAGGAATAAATACAGAGGAGAGGGAAGGATTTGCTCTTTATTGCAATGTTCATTTGCTGTTTAATTAATTAATTGCTTTAATGTCTGGGCTCCATTAATTGAGTGGATATTCAGTTAACTTTAGTTGGCTGTTCCTTTTCCCTTCCTGGCTCTTGAAGAAATTCTTTAAAAATCAGTCAACTGTCTCTTGCCTTTTTCAAGTACATTTACTCCTAAATTCATTTGCTTTGCTCAGTTGAATGAGAGTGAATTTCTATCAGTGAGAATACAATTCCTAAAGTGTCTTATGTGGAATAGCTTTTAACTGTTTTCTTTCACCTTCTCTTTTACATCTCTACTGTGAGATGTTTTTGATACAAAACCTTGTAGCATGCCCATGGGTGAACATCTCCTACCACTACAGTGTGGTGGTGTGGTGGAGTTGAATTTACTTGGATGATGGGGTCACAAGTCTGTGAACAACACACATGGATAATAGTACTTCACAACGTCATTCATAAACAGACTGACTAAAGAGTCAGTATTAGTATTTGTATTTAGTTATAGAAATAGTGTGTACTGATGACTTTTTATATGGTTATGTTCTTTGGTAGTTGGAGTAATGAAAAGGATTCAAGAGAGTGCTTGGCAGCAAATGAGCTGTATTTGGAGTTCATATTCCAGCAGGGGCATCTGTGCGTTCAGCTTGCACTCTTTCACAGAAGGATAGTTGTAGTTCTCAACTTACACTAGTTTGAGTACATTGTAACTAGCTACAGTTGAATTACTTTATTACATGAAATGAGGACAAAATGTGTTCATAAACTGCCTTCAGTTTAAAATCAAAACTGCTTATATTTTGAGGGTTAGCTGTGTATAAGCAGGCAGTCAAGGAGCAACACCAAAAATCATCAGTTACAAGTGTAGTTGCCCAGAGGAGAGTTCAGTGCTGAAAAATGTGATTATATGTAGCTAAGCACCTCTGGGTAGTCAGAGCTCATGAGTAAAGGAACCTGATACAAATTTATACAGAGGAAGTAATTTCCTTACTATATTAAAGTTTAATGATAAAGCTAAGGGATAAAATGTGAAACTGCTTCATGCAATATGGTGGAGGAGGACTAGTTTCTTTTTGGACTAAATAATAAAGAGTTTCAGGAAGGTGTATAAACATCTGTGTGGTACTAACAATGGTAGCTAAGACAAGCTGGAATCATGACCCTGGCAGAGGGTGAGCTGTAATTCAGGTAAATGAGTGTTAGCTAGGGCACTTCTGGAAGGGCTTCATTATTGCAGAAACATGCTTGAGGCTTGTGTGGCCTCTTCTGAAAGAGATATATGCAATGAAATCAACTGTCACAGGTGAACTTCCCACCTGCACCTAGAAAACCCTTCCTTTGGCAAGAGACCATTTTCCCAGTGTGGATGAAAAAGGTGCATTTGGTTGCACCAAAAGCTGGTGGTTGTCCGCTGGGGTTGTACATGGTGTGTATTTCTTGCATAACACCCAGGGGTCATCAAGGACTAGTGAGTCTGGAGTACTCTTACCTGTACTGAGCAGGTACTGAGCATTTAAAATCTATGTCCCTTTGTCACTTCAAACACACTACCTGAAGGTGACTAAATGTATAGGAATGGTGACTTAAGTTAAATCTTGAAAAGCAGCAACTGGTCAGGTCTTACTATCAAAACGTGTATAGCTTTGCTTTATGACTAGCAGAGTCTCAGTTTTTATGCTACTGAGAAATAACACAATGAGAGATGCTCCATCATGGGTAAAAATAATAGCCTGGGTTTGTGCTATGTCAACCCTGCCAACACTGATCCAACTGTGCTTGCACCTGCTTTAACGCTGGGCTTTGTCTGCCCAGCTGTGGCATTGAGCCTTCATTGTTTCAATGTGTGCATCTCAAAACCAAGAAGAATTCCCCTATTTTTACACTGAAATTTTCCAAATGAAACTTTGCTGTGGAGGCACCAGTCTACAAAACTACTATTGTAATGACTAATACTTTGGGCCAGCAGATATGCTAGCACATCAGAGGTCATCTGGGCCAAGTAGCTAAAAACAAAGCTTAGAGAAACTGGGTCGTTGGATGGGAGGCAGTGGAACAGGTACACTGTGATAATGTAGGAAGTCTGTTGGGGTGAGGAGCAGTTTTAATCTGAAAAGCATGACTTAGTTACCAGAAGTGTGGGGAGCATGACAAAAACTGAGGAAGCAATATAAACTTCCAGATATCTTCAAAGCAACATGAGTGACTTCAGTGTATTAAGAGGTTGCCTAACTTTATGCTATCAAGTCTGATGCAGTACTGTCTTGTCTTACAATTACTCTCCTATTTTCTGCTTTTGACCATCATTCTGCTCTGGGACATAAATGCGAACAAGGAAAACACTAATTTTTTTGTACTTGCAAGGCTACTCAAAACCAAGCATAACTGCAGAAAGTTAATAAAATGTCTTATTTTATGTACTATATCATGTGACTCCCATACATATGTGAATTTAAGTCAACATGACATTTTTACATTACATTGTTAGTGACCCTGTAATACTATAAGCAAATTTGCTACAACTGCTGGCAGAGTATCAATTATAAACACTGCACAGTTTACAAAAACATGAGAGCTAAATTTTAATTTAAAGCAACTCAATAAGCTAAATTTTAATTTGAAGCAACTTTAATAAGTTAAATTACACTCACTTGTGCAGTAGGACCCTTGCTTTGTACATCACATGTATTTCTGTTGCTTTGAGTGCAAGGATGTTCTTAGTTTCAAGTGTTTACATGAATGTTGTGCAGATAAAACCTTCTGCAAGTCACCCAGCTGCTGACGAGGCTATTTGCCAACACTTAGGAAAGACAACATTCTCTAATAAAAGATCAAATATCCCTGAAAGCTAGTCCACTACTTCTTGATGTCTACTGGTCTCAAAAGCTTGGTATTATTAGAAATGCAAG